TCTGCAAGTTTGCTGTTCTTGTGCATCTCCCTTCACTTCATATCAGTTGGATGCTTCACTCTCAGCTCTAGCCCTCTGTGGCTATGTCCTTGTCCATGTGCTCAAGTGTCCTGAGGTCTCACCACATTCTGGACCAACCAGCACTTCCTCTAGTCTCTCTCATTTCTAGGTCAACGGGAGTCCATGGGCTGTGGTTGAACTCAGTCCATTTCTTCATTGCTGCCTTTCCCCATCTTCCACTCACCAGTACACCAATGTGGTCGCCAGCAAGCTTACATGCCTGTTTGTGTGTTCCCTTTGAGTTTCAGTCTTAGAGGGTAGTTTGTCCTGGAGGAACTTGATTGCTTGCCTTGATGTCTTCCTGGCGAACAGCTTGATTACTCTTGTAGTAGCCAGTCATGTTGACATTTTTGTTTTGGGGTTTTCCTGATGATCTTTCTTTAAAGATGTATCCTCTGTTGCTCTAACTGTTCCAGACTGGTCTGCTTGTCCTTTCTAGTGGGAATGTCCCACCTCATAAGGTCCTGGATGGGACTCAGGATTCCACCTAATGTCCTATACTCTGTAAAGGCTTTGCATGAGGCCTATTTCACTAGGCAAGTTCTAGAACCTGTTTTAGGTTTTCCAATCAGTTAAAGGCTGAAGATGGACTTAGAAGTTTTCTCTAATCATGTTTCCCAACATTCCTTTCTATCCCACTCAAGTGTCTATTTTACAATAGTTGTTGTTGTTAAGTGCCTTCAAGTTGGTTCCGACCCATAGTGACCCTGTATAGGGTTTCCAAGGAGCGACTGGTAAGCTTGAACCACCGACCTTGTACGCAACGGAAATTAATATTCATAAGACAGTCAAGCATTTTAGTATTATTTCCCCTCTTCAAGCTATACCTGGATCCCTGGATCCCAGAGCCCTGTTGTTCCAAGGTTGAGTATGCATCACTATTTACCTCTATCCACTTAGGCCATGTAAACTGGTCTCAGTGTTCCCCTATCTATCTTGTTCTTCCACCTTCTCCCCTTTCTTGTATTGCCCCCCACCAACACCTGAACTAAACCCCCCACCCTCGCCCCATTGTTGTGGTTACCTTATTTTCCATTAATTCTTCACTCCATTTAAGACAGTCTATTTTATCCTGCAATCTGCTTGAACTTCCCACCACCTGGATCTCTTCCTGTGTGTAATCTACTTGCAATTCCCACCACCTGGATCTCTGTTTCTTTGTGTTTACATTCTTTCACATTTGTAATTGTTTTGATCATAGACTGACCTCCCAGATCCTCTGTTCTTATAATTTTATTCTGTTTGTGACTCTTCCATTTGTTGATTGAGTTCAGGGTGATGCTGCCACATATGTCATTCTCTAATTGTTGTCTGTTC